TCAGGAGACTTCTGTTGTATGGATGTTACCACGTCTTGTTTGTCCAGTAACCACTTGATGGACATTTGGATTGTTTGAACTTTTTGGCTATTTCAGGTGCTCCTGTGAACACTTGCGTGCACGTCTGTGTGGATGTATATATTTTTACTGTGGTAAAATATATACAAGACGTTTGCATTTTAACCATTTTAAGTGTGCAGTTCCATGACATTAATTACATTCACCGTGCGGTGCAGACATGACCACTGTTCATTGCCAGATGTTTTTCATTGCTTCCCAGAAATCTGTACCCCCCAAGCAATAACTCCCCCTCCCCTCTCCCCCTCCCTTGGTAACCACTCATAAGCTTTTGCCTCTGCTGACTGTTGTAGAGATTTCATGTAAGGGGGATCGTACAGTATTTGTTCCTTTGTGTCTGACTTATTTCACTCAGCACAGTGTTTGCAAGGCTCAGCCATGTCATAGTATGTATCGGTGCTTCATTTCTCTTTATGGCTGAGAATATTCCATCGTATGTGAGAAATTCCGTATTATTTTACTTAAACCCTGTATTAAGGTTTGGAGTCTCTGGGTGGTGCAAATGGTTAACACACTTGCTGCTGACCTAAAGGTTGGAGGTTTGAGTCCATCCAGAGGTGTCTCGGAAGACAGGTCTGGTGTTCTGCTTCTGAAAAGTCATCCATTGAAGACCTTAGGGAGCATGGTTCTACTCTGACACACATGGGGTCGCCAGGAGTGGGGGTCCACTCAGTGACAACTGTTTCTGTTGCTTTTAATCATGAAGATAAGTAGGTGGTGTAAAAGCTGTATCTGTCAGTTACTACCATGCTTCTCCAAATGAAAATGAAAGGCATGTCTCCTTTTCCTTCTTCCCCCCTTCTCAGCATTGCTTCTTTACGTTAGAACCACTCGGGCACTTGGAACAAAGCAAAAGAGAAAACAGTAGGTGCCTGGGTCCTTCCGCAAAGAGGCTGATTCAGTTGCGCTGAGGTAGGGCCTCTGCTGAGGCAAGACGTGGTCACGGTTGAGTGAGACCACCACCCACTGTGTTCGAGGCCAAAGGACGTGTACCTGAGGGCACTTCCCCCTGAATCACAACTTCTCGTAATCCATGTCCCCTTTCCTACTAGGATATCAGGATCCTGTGAGCAGTAACCCTGCCTCATCTGTTTTTGTTGACTTGCCCATCGGGCCTGGCATGGTGACTTCATGCAGCAGGTGCTCCTTCTGTCCTTGTTGGGGACTAAAAGGAGATATGTGTGGGCCAGCCTTGCTACCTCAGTGGTCAGCTTAGACCCTGAGTGTTGCCCTCTCGGTATTTGTTCACCAGCATTTCACTCCCCTAAGAGACAGTACGTCCCCTAAGAGACGTGCTTTCTTTTACAGAGGGCAGCCTGGTTCTTGTACTTTACTCTCATGCTTGTCTCAGAAAACAATGTCTGTAAGTTCTTACCTCATAGCTCTGAAATACTTTACGTCATTATTTTAATCAACACGGTGGAAAATAATTTGCAGGCTTTGAAAAGCTTGTATTTGCCTAAGGTGAATGTTATGTGTTATAAATCCTACCTTCTATACCTGTGGGGAGCCCTGGTGGCGCAGTGGTTAAGAGCTCAACTGCTAACCAAAAGGTTGGCAGTTCAAAACCACTAGCTCCTCCTTGGAAACCCTGTGGGGCAGTTCTGTTCTGCCCTATAGAGTCGCTGTGAGTTGGGCTTTGGTTTGCGTATACCTGTGGATGTAATCGCATTTGGGAATAGGCTTTTCTTCGTTATATTAATGAGGCCACATCAGTGCAGGGTGTGTTTTAAGCCAACCACCTTGTGATATAAAAGAACAGAGTAGGCACAGAAGCAAGGGAGCACAGATGGGCAAAGATAGATGTCACCGCACCACAGGAAGATCACCAAGGAACCCAGGAACGGGAGCTGAAAAGAGACAGGGACCTTTCCCCAGAGCTGACAGAGAGAGGAAGCCTTCCGCTAGCCTCCTAAACTGTGAGAGAAAAACAAAAATTCTGTCTGTTAAAGCCGCGCATTTGTGCTGTTTCTGTTGCAGCAGCACGGAGAGACTGAGACAGTGAAGTATGTTGTTTCCTGTCTTTTCTTTCTTTTGCACCACCGAAGATTCTGAGGTGAGGTCTGCACTAGGGAAAGGGACGCAAGGCTGTGGTGGGTACGGCAGTGCCACTTGTCCAGAAAGAACAGATGGTCTTCTTCTCTGGTGCTCCCGGGATTTACTTGGTAGCATCAGCAGGCGTGACCTGCCCTGCACGGCACAGCTCCTGCGGGCGACTGGGCGCGGGGCCTTCTGGCAAAGGGCGGCAAAACCAGTAGTGAAGCAGGGCATTTGAAAATAGCTCTGAATCCTAAGATGTGGGTGCACTTGAGGAAACGTGGGATCATGCTTCTGAGCCACTGGTGACCCGGGCGGTTTTGTTTAAGAAAGCCGTATTCTGAGAAACAAAGAGCTGTTATCACAGTATTGAGCAGATACCGTTTGGCTCCTTCCAGAAACACTGCCTAGACGTTTTTTTCTTACTCGAGACTCAGAGGTGCCAGAACTAACCCGGGTGCTGGCAAGCGTTCCTGCCATAGGAACAGTGTCACCTTTAAAGATAGTATCTCTGTGTGGCCAGCTTTGTGACTGAGCAGGCTGAACCGTGTTCTGTTCTGAACTCTGTTAGTGGATTGATTTAGGACCTTGAGTAAATCATTTAATCCTTGGATTTCCCAGCTTTGCTTAACAGTGAGATGAAAACAGTAATTCTCGACACCCTTTCATCAGGAGGATATGTGGACAGCTAATGGGGGAACGTTTATGATTTGCTTTGAACTCTTCTACTGGAAACCAGGCTTGAGATGATGTGTTTTCCATGCTCTCACCCACAGTCTGGGCAGCCCGGGTTAAGGGAAGGGCTTAGAGGGCGCTCTGTCCCTGCAGGCAGATTCTGCAGTAGCCAAATGAGCTGGACTCGGGTGGTCCGGTCGTTCCGCATGCCACCTGCAGCCTCCCTCCAGGACAGACGCTCTCGCCAGAACAGCCCCAGCCCTCCCTTCCATGATGTTCTGCCTGCGTGCCTGTGACTGCACAGCACGCGTGCCTTGTCACCGCGTGGTGCCCCCGTCCTGGTCTGTGCCAAGGCCGGGGGCTGTCGTGTGCAGCTCTCAGGCTCATGAGTGTGGACCAGTGTAAGTGGGTTAAAAAGACGCTTTCTCAGGAGCTGTTCACTGTTGGTCTCCCAAAAAGTAGCAAGGACACAGTTTTCAGAATCAAGATTCATCTCGTAAAATCGGAGGAAAAAAAAACCAAAAAACCACTTGGTTCCATGAAGCTCTCATGAACTTGTTCTTATTGTGGCCATTTTGCTACAGACCCGCCTGCAGGTCCATGAAGCAGCTTTGGTGTTGTTGGCTGTAGTACCATCGAAAGCCCAGAGTGTCCGTCGCCAAATAGAAATTAAAGCTTGTTTGTGTCATGTTTTGAGTTTTTGTCTTTTTTCTTTAATTGTAGAGACAAATATCGTTCCTAATATTTGCCAGTCTGTATTTTTATTTCCCTGAACCAGAATCTCATTATTGGGATTTTAAACCCAATTTGCACTTTAAAAAACAACCTCCTTTTTTTCAAAATGAAGACTGCTTTAGAATGAATGTATTTTAAGCGTATTTTACCCGTGCCTTGTCTTTGACTCCTTTCGACAGGCTGCATGTCTTTGACATTGAACTCATTCGGTCATGATCTGTATCTCCTGTGATGGCTCCTTATGTTGTAGAAGTTAATATGTTAGGAAATGGTTTTTTTAGAAAGGTGGAGGTATTTATAAAGGGACTTGGTTCTCAGTTCATGTAAATAGAATGGGATTTACTTTCTCCTTTACTGAATTGATGGGCCATACCCAAAGCGATTTCTGCTGTTTCAACATCTGTAGCTGTCACTCAGCACTTCTGTTTTCTTATAAGAATTCACATAGTAAAGATCACCTGAGATCTTTAAAAACTACTCTAATGCGTGCTTTATTAGTGAAATTTTTAGGAGCGGAGGATCTCCTCCCTCATGTTAAAATACAAGCTGGTGGTCCCCAAGCTCCCTCTGCCGCTGCCCTGACGTGCTGTGTGCTGGTCAGGACAGCGGCCGTTTAGACACATGGAGGTTTTCATTTGAACAGGACCTGTGAATGGTTTAGTCCATTCCCACCACTTACCACCGGGGGAGAAGCAAATCTGGGAGCTGGCCTGTGTGTGCATAGTGGTTGTGCAAGGTGCCAGGCGTTCCTGTCGGTGCAGGCAGGATGATTTCTGTCGCACGGCTGTGCAGGCTCAGGCTTGCACGGCCGTACGTGCGCCACACCTCTGTCTGCGAGCGTGTGCATACTTCTTATATCTGTTTTTAGCAGGTTGCAAAAATCACTTCTTAGGCACGTTTCAAAGTTAAAAATAGCCTCCGAAGTAACAACGCTTAACCACTCGTTTATCTAAATACAGTAGAATCTTGCTGTAACATGTGCCATAGTTCAAATCTTTATTCTAAGATATAATTGCACTCCATATACAGAGAAAAGAAAGAAAAATCTAGACTCTTGCACTGTTGGCATTAGTTTTTTTTCTCTGATCCTGTTATTGTGAAGAGGTTCTGCCACTCCAGCTCCTACCTTTACTAACGTAAGAACTGTGCCGTAATTCCGTCTTTGTGCTCGACCTTTTGGTTAGCAGCCGAGCACTTAACCACTGCGTCATCAGGGCTCCTTTGTGCTTGTACTTATGATTTAAGCCAGCCTGGAATAGGAGGATAAGACATTAACTTCCATCTGGAAAAAAATACCAGCTCGTCATTATTATTGAGATAGCTGCTCCAACATGAGTTTGTAAAGCGGTAAAAATTTCCTAACTCGTTTCTGAATTGTAGCAGGCATTGAAAAATCTACCTTGGAGTTGTTCTGTTTACTTATTTTCTATTTTCTAGGGGCCCAGAAGATACCTGTTTTGAGTTTGGTGTTTTTCCTGCCATCCTGAGTTTTCCACTTGATTATCCCTTAAGTCCCCCAAAGATGCGATTTACCTGTGAGATGTTTCATCCCAACAGTAAGTGTTTTTTGAAGCAGTTTTTGTAGTGCCAGGAGTGACACAGAGGCTGTATAATCATGTGAAAAGTAGCATATCAGCGACTTGGACTTTAAAAAATATTGTGTTTTGAACTGTAACAGATTACACCATGGTGTTATTGACACCATGAGTTCGGTTTTGAAAGACAGCTTAACGTAGATTTAAAAAAACAAAAAAACCTAAAGATGTGGATGCACTTGTCCCAGCCTTCCTACTGTTGGTGGGGTTGTTGTCGAGAACGTGTGAAGACGTGTGTGCACTCTGGGGCCCGACACGCCTCTTTGCCACTGTCACTTAGAATGCTGAAACATTCAGGAACAACCTCCATTTTCAACAATAGAGCAGATTATCAACAGTAGAGCAGATTGTTAAGTTAAATAGTAAATCATACTAGTCCATGTAATACAATGCTATACAGGTATGTTAAATGATCTAGAATATATTTAATGGTATAGGATGATATTTATGATATACTGAGTTAGAAAAATAGGTTACTAATCAGTAGGTTTGTTATGTCTCCTTTTCTGGAAACAAAATTGACATGTAAATGCATGTGTAACTGGAAAGGTAAGCACAGAAGTGTTAAAAGTGATTCTTTTTCCATGGTGGAATTATTTTTTCCTTTTTGTACAGCATTTTCTTTTTCCTAAGATAAACACATATTATGTCTAAAAAGAGGAAAAAATATATCATTTATATCAGTTGTACTTGTTTTAGTTGAAAAAGTATCCAGTAGCAGGGAATGGAATTCCTGAGCAGCTGTAGTTTTTACTTCTTCTTTTATAGGTGGGGGTTATAGATGGGACAGTGAATTAGGAAATGTGTTGTGTTTTCAGTGATAGTATTTAGAAGGGTGTGCCTTCTTATAAATGATCATTATTGCCAGTGATAATCATGATCTTAATAGCTGTGGAGAAGAAAAACAAGTAAGATATACTATTTTGTAGAAGTAAAATATTTACTTATTTTTTTATTTTTTACTTATTATTTTCTTATTTGTAGCCTCTTCCTATACTTTGCTGCATATCAGATAGCTCAAGGCTGATTTAAGCATGAGGGAATATTTTCTGTATGTTTTCTGAGCCTTTGACTTCTCTCTTGGCTTAAAAATAAGTCCACTTGGTGCACCTCCCCTTTTCTCTTCCCCGCTGTAAACACCATCCGTACCCCAAAGCCCCACCAAACCTCCCTCCCTGTCCAAGGAGACTTTTAACACTGCCCACCTGGCAGGAAACTCTCCTTGCTCTTTTGCTTGCTGCTGGAACCTTCTGGGAACTTCTCATTCACTGCTCTTGTTGTTCCATGACAATACCAGTGGCCTCGTCTAGAGAGCAGTTTGCGCTTTTTTCTCTGTCTCTGTGTTAATTCAGCTTTGTGTGCATGGTAGATGCTCAGAAACAGCTAGTTTTTCTGGAAGATTGACTGTGAGTTGGCAGCTGTTGAGGCAGGGTGATGAGTATGGGGGCATTTATCATGTGTTGTCTGTTGTGGTGTGTGTTTGAAATTTCCAGTAATAAAAAGTTAAAAAATACATGATGGTTTCTAGAGAAGAGCCAGAGCTCGGGTAGTACAGTAGTTAAGAGCTCGGCTGCTGACCAAAAAAACATCAGCAGTTTGAATCCACCAGGTGCTCCTTGGAAGCCCTGTGGGGCAGTTCTACTCTGTCCTGTAGGGTCGCTGTGAGTCAGAATCAACTAGATGGCAACGAGTTTTTTTTTTTTTTTTTTTTTTTAGATAAGAGTTAATTGAAGAGGCCAGTGAGCTCAAGTTGATTAACCATAAAATACAACTATGAGGAGGATTGTAGTAATTTGGAAAAAGTAAAAATAGTAAGATTGTACTGAAGATAAATACATGCTTTAGAAAAATGCCAGTGACTTGAGATACATATGACTAATAAGCTGATTGAATTATGTCCATGTGTGCCAGAATAATTAATCTGGTAATGTTATTTTTAATGTTTAGGTAATTATTATTTAGAGTATTTTATTCCCTTTCTATAACTTGATGCTATTTTTATTTTGTAAAAATTTTATTTTTGAGTAAATCTACATTATAAGTCTGCCACTATACTAAAAAATTTATCAGTGAATGAATGTTTTTAAGAAAGGATTCACTGTATTTATTGAAAGTTGCTGGGATACAATGGTGAGCAAATAATAAAAAAGGGGACTTGACCTTCACGTGCTCACAGCCTTGGAGGAGGGTAGACATTGGGATAGGGGTCACACAGGTAAGTGTAAAATCACTGTTTGTGGTGACTGCTGGGAAGGGGAGAGGGAAGGTCAGAGGTGGTACCAGCAAGGTGATGGCTGAACTGACCATCTGCAGGAAGAGCAGTGTGAGTCACCTGAGTGAGGGGTGTGTGTGTGGGTGTGTGTGTGTCTGTGTCTGTGTCTGTGGTGGGGGCAAGGGGAATCTAGCATGTGCAAAGGCCCTGTGTAAGAAGTGAGGGGAGAGGGATGGAGGCAGGGAGCAGACCAGTTGGGGCCTTCGGGCAGTATTTAGGATTTGATCTCTATCCTGGGAGCGGTGGAAGGCCATTGAGGGGATTCTAAGTGAGTGAGCAGAACGGCCTTTGCCAGGTTCACTCTGGTTGTTTGTAGAGAGCAGATGCTGGGATCCTGAACCTCGTCAGTGTTGACGAGGACGAGATGTGTATGTATGGAGATGCATGGGCCTGGGTGATGGGTGGGATGTGCGGTGGGAGAGAGGGGAGGGGTCAGGGCACCTGCAGGAGCAGGACTGAGGTAAGCAGTACAGAGCCATCACTGTTGCCCCAGCCCCCATGGAGCTGAGGGACTCGGGAAACCGAGGGCAGGGATGAAGGGTGCCGGGCGTTCCAGGTAAAAGGGGTCGCAGGGACAGAGGTGTAAAAACAGCCATGTCTGCCTTTGGTGTTTCTGGGAAGTGCAGGGTCACTACCTAGTGCCACCACTCTGAGGAAGGGCCACTTACAAGGAAACTTGTTGACACCAGTCTCCTTTTTTGGGGAGAGGGTGGTTCAGAGTTCTAGGCGTGCAGAGACTGCATGCATGGACTGGGGACTGACACCCTGATGTCCATGATCACTGTGCACGCAGCGTCTTAGACTCCTTCCTGGAAGAGGACTTGTGGACAGCTGCTGGGTGGTCAGAGGGCCGTCACCATGGGGACAGAGGATGAACGGGGAGTGAGGGGCTGGGTGTGAAAGGAAGAGCTATTGGGAGGTAAATGATAATGGTTAGCATTTCTAAATTTCATGAAGTTCTGAGCTCGTAAATGAAGGTGAATTAAATGAATTGTAAATCATCTGTTATTTCTATTATAATTTTAACGGCCCCGTAATTTTATAGTTGAGTGTATCCAAATGGATTTCCTTGGATAGCTAAATATATCCTGAACCATCAGGGTGTCTTGTTAATGATGCTATCTGATGAGAGAGGGGTTAGATGAGACACAGTTCATCTCCAGGCAGTATGGATAAAAATTTTCCTGTTAGAATCAGTTGCCAAGGGAACTCTCGGTCCCTGTCTTTTTCTGGCTAGTTCAGTAATTCCAGCTACCTCCATCCTAGCCGTGTAAGCAGTCCAGTTCATGTATTTCATGCTAGAATTAGAAACGTGTAAGAAACTAGCTCTGATATGGATGATCCTAATTAGGAATTTTGATACAATGTCTGACTGCCAGATAACTTTCCACTTAACTCCGTTTGGATATGGTATTCTAGAAAATTGTACTATAGCTGAGTAGCAGTGGGGGGCTTGGAGCATCAGCAGTGCCCGAGAGGCCTGGACAGGCCCTGGCTCTAGGGCATGGCCCCGCTGGGTGAGCCTAAGGGGAAGCTCGGTGCTGGGGCGCAGCCGTGCTCAGCTGTGCAGACAGCCTGGGGTCTGTGTGCAGAGCAGCTCTCGCTTGCGCGGTGGCACCTCCCTGGTGTGTCTCAGCTCACTTGCCCTGTTCTGACCCTTCAGTCTACCCTGATGGGAGGGTCTGCATCTCCATCCTGCATGCCCCCGGAGACGACCCCATGGGCTACGAGAGCAGCGCCGAGAGGTGGAGCCCTGTGCAAAGCGTGGAGAAGATCCTGCTGTCGGTGGTCAGCATGCTGGCAGGTACGGCACCCGGTGGCTTGCGCGAGCACTGCCCGGCCTTCGCTGTTCTGTGGTCATGTTTCGTCGGGGAGGGGGGCATGAAAAACAGATGGCGTGCTGGCCGCTCCTCTTTCCACCCTTAGCCCTTGTCACTGTGGTTTACTTTTGCTCGTCAGTAATTAATTTACATAGATGACTGTATCTTCTGCTTCTTCGTGTAAGAACACTTCCATACAGTTTCCCAAGTGTAAGCGGTGTTTTTCGTAATTACACACGTTCAGGACGACCCGGTGTCGTACGTCGGATTGTTGACCACGATGAGCCGTCTCCTAACCGGTGGATGTTTCACTCGTTGTGTGGACAATTATGGGGACCCTGCGTCAAGTTCAGTGTGACAGACCCCAACGTGAAGGCACCCACGCCCGAGGGGGATTTCCAGCTCAGCCAGCATGTCGGGCCAGTGTGAGAAATCCCGAGATGAGGGCCTGCTCGGGGGACAGGGGACCTTGAGAAGCAGTGGGTCTTGGCCTGCCCTTCAGGGAGTGTCTGGAGCAGTCTGGAAGACACGTGGAGTTCACAAGGCGCAGGAGAGGGAAAGCCATCTGGGGCAAAGGGGAGAGCCTGTGCTGTGGCCCGAGGCAGCGTGGCTGGCACAGGGCATTGCCAGTGAGGGCTGGAGCGCAGGCTGTGTGTGGGAGGGCCGCCGGGGTGGGGACTGGGCGCCACGGAAGTGTGCGGAAGGCTGAGCCGAGCCTGGCAACTCCGGGAAGTCCCTGGAGGGTCGGAGTGGGCACGTTGCGTCACCCACGTGGTGTCTGAGCGGGTCGTCCTCGCGGCAGTGTGTGCAGTGTGGTGTGAGTGGAGGGGCCGCGCGGCCCACTGGCCAGCCGACAGTGCAGCAGCCGGGACAGAAGAGCTGAGGGCCTGGGCCGGGGCAGGGCGGTCCCGAGGCCGGGCGCTGGATCTGGGAGACATGAGAGCCTGCAGGGGAAGCAGGCTTTGGGGAGATGAGTTTGGGCTGTGTTGAGTACAAGGGCCCATGTACCCCATGGTCCAGGAGCCTGCTGCTCTCAGCTTGGCCAAGGCCTGGCTAGAGAAAGGCCTGGGCGTCATCTCTGGGTCAGGCTGGCGGTGAGGAGTGAAGGAAGGGTGCTGATGCAGGAAAGGTGTTTGTGAAGAAGAGGAGCCCACAAAGGATTGTAAGGAGGGACAGTCTGGAAAGCTGGGAAGAGAAAGTGCCGCAGAAATAAGGGAGGAGTGTCAGGAGCACCCAACAGAGGCCACAGAGGGGCCAGGACGCTGCCTGCTGTGGGGAGGTGCTCGCTGGGGCGTGTGGCTGTCCCACGCAGTGAGTCGAGGATGAGTGTGAAGTCAGGGGCTGGTTGTGTTTTCAGATGGCAAACGCTTAAAGCTCTACATGCTGACTGGACGGAATCCGACAAGAGAGGGAAATGGAAGATCTGGGAGGGGGCAGTGATTGAGGTTTTCAGGTCTCAGCTGCTGATTATACCGTTAGAAATGTTTTTAGTATACTATTTTTTTAGTTTAATGAATTTTTTACGCACGCCTGTCAGCGTATGTCCTCTTGACTCCGAGCCACGTTTCCGGCTTTGTCTACTGTCCTTCCTCATGACACCTCCTTGGCCACACGTGTGGCCTCCAGACCTGTGCCTGGCTCGTGCTCTCCTGGCCCTCCTGCTCAGGCTGCCTCCCCTGCCCAGCCCAGCCCACATCCCACTCTGCTCCAGGCGTCTGCATCCCACTGGCCTGTGTGAGGCTCTGCCAGCACCAGCGAGGTCAGGCGTGCTGCATGGAGGTGGCAGCAGCCCCGTCCATGCTCCGTGCTCCCCACGTCCAGTGCCGCATCCACAGGCACCACATCTGTGGAGAAGCCTGCTCTGATCCGACTCACTCTGCCTCCTGCTGCTCTGAGCCTTCTCTCTGCAGCACTTGCCACAGTTCAGAATGAGATGTTAATGTTGCTTTGCTTACTGTCTGCCTGCCCCCCCACCCTGCCCCCTGGTCTGGGCCCTGAGGGCAGGCCCACAGCCCTTGTTCTCCAGTGTGTGCCCCGTGCCTAGCACAGATCCTAGCTCACAGTCAATGCTGAGTAAGTGTTTGTTGGATAAATGGCAGACAGGCAGCAAGGTGGGATAGTAATTTTACGTGGGCCTCTTGGAGGTTGGAGGAGCAGACAATCACTCTAGCAGCCGAAGAAAGGAGGCCTGGATTGTGCGGAGCAGGACGGGAACCTACTGGCCCCGGGGCCACAGTGGAGTTGGCATTCTCCTTGGTGTCTGGTCGGCCTGCTGCTGTTGTCTTGGCTCCTTGGCCTCTACTCTACACTAATCCAGTCTCTTCATTCTGACCGGCATCACCGCCACACTTCATGGCTGCCACTTACTTGTAGCTTTTGCTTCAGAATTTCTTGATTTTGGTTTCTTGTGGCCCTCAGCCCTGTCTCCCTTCCTGGCTGGCTGCTGGCCCCAGCTGACTAGGCTGGAGATTAGCTGGCCATGGGCCTGGCATCCACCCTGGGCCAAACATCCACAGTGGGACTACATGTCTGCCTAGGATTGTCTTTCCAGTGGGGACCGGAAGGGACAGACAGAGAACACTAGCTTACACACAGAGTGTCCCCCCAGTGGTAAAATGAGCAGGTGGATTGTCTGTGGCTTGTTCTCCGGGTGCTGGAAATGCCCTGTATCAGGCAGGGCATGGTAGGGAGCTCCACGCACCACGTCATTTAGGGTGTCTTAGCATTTCCAGAGCAGGATGAAGATGGGTTGTGTTGGCATTTTTAGACAGTCAGAGGAGGGGATCCTGAGAATGGATCTTTGTGCACGGAGGCGCACCTGGTGCACCGGTCCGCAGCATGCCCTGCCCTCCCTTCAGTACCGCAGACGCCGCCCCCTCGG